GGGGGTCCAACTCTAGAACAGTTCAGGATACTTTTCGTGACGATAAATGCTCCGCATTTTATAAAATTTAAACACTGGAGATCTATTCAACAGCTCTGTTGGAATAGAAGTCGTATCACTGGGCGTGTTCGGCGTGTCGCCTATTTACATTTGATAACACAAACACTTAGTATGTATTAATTCTCTCATAACTACTTGAAACAGTTGTGTTTAACACAACAGTAGACTTTATAACGCCAATCTTACCGATGTCGGTCATCATAGAGTAGTTTATAGGGCTCGACCTTGAGCAATGGAAACTGACCTTGGCTCTTCCGAGCACCTAAACCACCTGCACATGCCGTTTGATGTTTCCTTATGCTGTCAAAACTGTCTAAGACGGCCATTTTCTTCGACCATTCTAGACAGTGTCATCACAATGTAGAAAAAAAAAATACTCAAATAAGAAAATGGGAAGTGGCCGTTTGTACTGGCGGCAATTAGAGCAGGTTCGGCTTTAAAGGAAAGACTTCAATAACGAACCGACCACTTTTGTCCATTGAGCTTTTTTTAAAAACGGCTTTCCTCACCTTTAGAAGGTATCTCAACATTTTTTAAATACTTCCAGCCCTTGTAAAATTGAAGATGCCACACGAAAGGGCAATTCTTAAACCTACCTCACTGAAGCAATTCAACAAATGAAAATATTGTTTGTTTAATTTTTCTTTGGAAATTGATCTTACCGTCCAGGCTCCAGAAAAAGATATCCGACATCTTTGATGACACGAACACTCTGGGGCGAGATAGGAGACAAATCACGAAAGGAAGTTCACGTATCGCTATAATCAAAACACGATGAGAGCACATCCATTTTTTTAAATAACTTTTCTCCTGTAGATTGATTAAACGTTTTATTTGTTCAAATTGATTGCTGCCATAATATAAGTATAAGTCACCAACATGGTTTTCTTTTATTACACAATTTAATCGCTCGACGGTTTCACAAAAAGAACAGAACTATTGCTCCAGACGAAGGAATGCGAAACACAAGAAGGTTAGTGAAAGTTAGATGATGTCGAATAACGTTATTATGACAGGAAATGATTAGATATAAGAGATGAAAATAATTCTTCACTTTCACGATCTGTAAGTCCTTGGTTTTCTCGATATCGGGTATCCAGTAATCAGTTCTGTTTGGGGTCTTCTAAGGTAAAGAAATAATGTTCCTCTTTTTCATGCTTGTTAAATCAAAAGTTTCGAAGAAACGAATATTCCACAGTCAGACTCTTAACAAAAGAGAGTCTCCTTCTTTAAACGTTGGAGTAAGAATCAGAAACATAGTTCATAACAGAGAACAGTGAAGACCACATCTCTTGAGGTAAACACACTAAAGACATTGATCAGTGGATCAAGTGACCATACTCATACAGCGCCTCATGTGACAGACACAGGGCGGAGAATCAAACCTCTCTTCACTCGCAGCCTCATCACTAAACCACTTTGATTTTTAGAGGTCATTTGAGAACGAATGGACACCATCTCAAACCTTAGATACTAAGCCAATGTTCGATTTTCGCTTTTACTAG